CTTGTTTCTGTGCTTTCACCCTCCATGACTGTGCTTCACTTGGTAGTCAGAGAGAACCTTCCAAAATATGTCAGATTATGTCAGTCTTCTGGCTCAAAACCCTCTAATGACTCCCCATCTCGCTGAGTGGTTCCCCATCCCTCTGACTTTATCTCCTATGATATTCTCCTTGCTCAGTACTCTAGCTACATTGAACTCTGAGGTATGTGTCACCATGAGATGCATGCTCCTGACTATTCCCTCTTCTTCCAGCTATCTGTATAGATTTTCTCACTTCCTTTGCTCAAACATCAACTCAATAAAGTCTTCCCTAACCACCTGTAATGATAGCAAGAACCACTCCCATCCCCCACATCACCTGCATCTCTTGCTTTATCTTTCTCCATGGCACTAATTACCATCTGATCTACCACATATTTACTAATTTTTGTCTCTTTCCTTCCTTAGAATGTCAGCTCTATCAGGGCCAGATTTTCTTTTTTCAATGCTATATTCCCAGGGCCTAAAAGAGTGGGTCCTAGACATACAGTAGGACTCAAAATATCTGTTGAACGCATAAGTAGAATAATAAGCAAAATAGTGACCTCAAAAATTTAGAAGAGAAATATCTGCAATTTTAACAAACAAATTAAAACAAAAAATGTACATGTCTCAGATTAAAACAAGGAGCACATATCCACAAGTAATCACACAACAAGGAGGTTTCTTTAAAAAAAAAAAAAAAAAACAATGATAACAGGCCAGACACAGTGAGTCATGCCTGTAATCCTAACACTTTGGGGGGCCAAGGTGGGAGAATTTTTTGAGGCCAGGAGTTCAAGACCAGCCTGGGCAACATAGCGAGATCCTGCATATATTTAAAAAAAAAAAAAATTAGTCCAGGCACGGTGGCTCACGCCTGTAATCCCAGCACTTTGGGAGGCCTGACCTTGTTATCCACCCACCTCAGCTTCGTACCCAACCACCTCTCTGCTTTTATTCACTGCAGTTTTCTCTGCCTGGTTGCCCACCAGGCCACCCAACCTTGGGGGTCACCCTTGACTCCTCTTTTGCCTGTCGTATTATAGCTAATCTGGCAAAAGCCCTTCCATTTCTAACTAAAAGTAGTATACTTCTTGCCATCCACACGGTCCCGGCTCTAGGGTGAGCTGCTGCCATCTCTCCTGGACTGTTCAGCAGCCTCCTAAGGAGGGTCTATTTGCAGGTAATGAAATGTTCTCGATTGATTGTTCCCAGGTACAGTGGCTCATGCTTATAATCCCAGCACTTTGGGAGGCTGAGCAGGAGGATCACTTGAGCCGAGGAGTTCATGACCAGCCTGGGCAACACAGTGAGACCCCATCACTACAAAAAATAAAAAGTTAGCTGCAGCCAGGCACAGTGGCTCACACCTGTAATCCCACACTTTGGGAGGCCGAGGAGGGTGGATTACCTGAGTCAGGAGTTCGAGACCAGCTTGGCCAACATGGTGAAACTCGATCTCTACTAAAAATACAAACAATCAGCTGGGTGTAGTGGCAGGCGTCTGTACTCCCAGCTACTCAGGAGGCTGAGACGGGAGAATAGCTTGAAGCTGGGAGGCAGAGGTTATAGTTAGCCAAGATCGCGCCACTGCTCCAGCCTGGGCGACAGAGACTGTCTCAAAAATAAGTAAATAAATAAAATAAAAAATAAAAATAGCGGGCCGGGTGCGGTGGCTCACATCTGTAATCCCAGCACTTTGGGAGGCCCAGGCGGGTGGATTACGAGGTCAAGAGATCGAGACCATCCTGGTCAACGCAGTGAAACCCCATCTCTACTAAAACTATAAAAAATTAGCTGGGCATGGTGGCGCGTGCCTGTAGTCCCAGCTACTCAGGAGGCTGAGGCAGGAGAATTGCCTGAACCCAGGAGGCGGAGGTTGCGGTGAGCCAAGATCGCGCCATTGCACTCCAGCCTGGGTAACAAGAGCGAGACTCCGTCTCAAAAATAAATAAATAAATAAATAAATAAATAAATAAATAAATAAATAAAAATAGCCAGGCACAGTGGTGTAGCATGCGCCTGTAGTCCCAGGTACTTAGGAGGCTGAGGTGGCAGAATCACTTGTGCCCAGCAGTGGAGGTGCAGTGAGCTTCGATGGTGCCACTGTACTCCAGCCTGAAAGACAGGGCAAGGTCTTATCCTCTCCCTCCAAAAGGACAACTATTAAAGGGAATAATCAAGATTCTACTTATGCACTTACTGTGAAGCAGAATCATTTGTTTAAGCAACAGAAAAGAAGGCTCATGTGGCAGAAGCCCGGGGAGAAAATGGAACAAGATGGGGCAGGACAGGAAAGGCTGGGTTGAGATGCTATTTGCAAAGGGAAGCCACTGGAGTATTTTCAGCAGGGGAATGACATCATGTGCTTTATGATTTTTAAAAAACCATTCTAAGTGCTGTGTGAAGATGAAATGCAGAAAAAGAAGAATGAGTGAAGAAAAGAGAACAGTTAGGAGGCTGCTGAATAGGCCAGCAGAGACGGCAGCAGCTCACCCTAGAACCGGGACCGTGTGGATGGCAAGTAGTATACTACATTTAGAGTTAGAAATGGAAGGGCTTTTGCCAGATTAGCTATAATACGACAGGCAAAAGAGGAGTCAAGGGTGACCCCCAAGGTTGGGTGGCCTGGTGGGCAACCAGGCAGAGAAAACTGCAGTGAATAAAAGTGGAGAGGTGGGTAGGTATGAGGTCAGCACTTGCCTGCTGCATGTGCTACTCAGTAGCTGCCTTAGAGCTCAGTAGCTGCATGCTACAAGTCAGAGATGCCATTTAGGGGCCACAGAGCAATTACCACTTCTTCTAAAGAGAGCAGGTTAAATTACAGACTTACCTGAAGAAAACCAGTGTGCTAAAGGTCTGCAGCTAGTGTATTATAAAACTTTTAAGTGTGTTTCCCTATATGAGAGGCTGGAAAAATTTCCTAGGTTAATCACATGCTGAGACACTGGGCTGGGCTCATACATACCCATCACTTTTCTTTAGCAGGTACCCCTTCTTTTCACTGCCATATTCCTTATTGCCCTGGAGCTGATGCATGCTGTAACCTCCTTGTCGGCTCTGCGAATCCTAGGAAAGAAAAACTACAGGTGAAACAAAAACTGGAGACAATTCTCACATCCTTGATTCTATTCTGCCACTGAGCCTTTACCACTAGTCTGGGTCTAGGGAAATTATGGAACTTTAAGAGCTGCCAGGTCCTTACCTTTATTTTAGAGGAGGAAACTGGGCAGCTAAATACTTGTCAGAGTCACAAAGCAAGTCCGAGGCAGAGCTGGGCTGGGTCTCTGATTTCTTGTTCAAAACCCAGCTCTACTCTGAACTGAATTCAACCAAGCACAGTGCACTGGTAGACAGACTACTAGACTGAAACCAGTTTACACCAGCAGCAGAGGCAACCATAGGAGGGATTGGAAAAAGTGAAGTGGACCACAAAATAAAGTCCATACAACCTGAATATGTTCTTCCCTTAGGCTGTATCTTCTCTCCCTTTACATTCTGCTAAAACACCCCCAAATAAAAGGGCAACCTTCTAAGTGAGGTTTTAACAATTATTATGTTTCTTGTTTTGCAGTTAGTGCTCTGTAAAATATACCTACAACCATACTTTTCAATTAAGACAATTCTACGGCAGTGAAAAGTGTATGCCGTCGTGGAAGGTGACAAGGGCCAAACCAACAACACAGATGCAAAAAAGGTTGATTTATTATTAGCACTCCACTGAGCGCTACTTACATAGTTTCTAAGGGCTACATGACTAGAAACAGTCATTACATTATGAAAATGTAAGAAATAAAATCAACAACGTTGAACTGCAGAATGAGAACATGGTCTTTAGACATACAAGTAGGACAATATATTCTCATAAAAAGTATTGACTTACTCTCCTAGACTTCGATCAGGAAGGGCAAAAGCAACAGAGAAAAAAGGTAGAACATTTGAAAATACAGTTAATTTCATTGAAAATCATATCACCCATAATTTAAGCATTTTATATAATGTACACAGAAAACATCATTCTAAAGATAATACTAGACAACATATACTTAGATTCATGATAAACTTTGGGTGATAGGACAATAAAATGTCTATATTTATCTGGTTTTATTTCAGGTCATATTGCATGAGAACAGAAACATGGCTAAATAGAAGAACATGAGGTACACACATATTTTACCAAAGTAAAAATGGTTGACAAATCTCAAATATTTAAGTATAGGGAATCAATACCTCAGTGAAACCCAAAATCAATTATTCAGAAATCTAATAACAGCCACAAATTGCGGCAGGACTATGTTTTTTCCCAAGGGAAAAGAAATCAAATATATCCATTTCATAAACAACACCTGAAATGTGATGGCGTCAAGGTAAGCTAAACCATCCATTGACTATTTACTGACTTGTATACAAAATACCTTTAAGGCCAGGATGGCTTCTTTCTGACATTCGGTATCTTTTTGGCCCAAGTAATGTATGTTCGGTGATGCAAATTAATATAAGTAATAGTCAAAGGAAAATCTCTAGGACAATGTATCTTTTTAAGGCTGTTCTACACGTGACAGATTTTATGTTCAAAATCATGTCCTGAATACCTCTGAAAGACTATACTTTCAGGGATCATTT